CGAGGGATCTCCCTGGGAGGGTGGCTCATCCCCTGGGATGCATTTTTGCTCCCAGGATGTTCCTTTTCCATGGAAAACGATGCGAAGAGACCTTTAAAACCCAATCCAAGGGTTGTTTTGGAGTCGTGGGAGCCGGAAAAAGAACCAGCCTTGGGATAAATCGGGCTTTGGGATGTGGGATGGGAGCTTATGTCAACTGGCAAAATGGGAAGTGACCTTTTCCCTCCCAGCTGGATAAATTTGGGATGGAGCCGCAGCACTTCCCCCTCCCACTCCCCTCATCCCATAGGGAAGCCGCTGGATTGCTGGAGGGACGGATCAAACCAGTAAGGAGACCGGGAGCGGGATAAACCTGGCAGGACCTCTTTCCTGGGGCTGTTTTTCCCAAGGATTAAGGATTCCAGACTTGCTTTGCTTGTTTCTCCTGCAGAAATAGGGAATGGTTTTTTTTCCCTCAGCTCCGGGGCATCTCCTGCTTTCCTCTGGGAAAGGCACCACATCCCTAGGGATAAAACCTGGAGCTTGGAAAAGGGGCAGAGCTGGGAATCTCCTGCTCCCAGGCTGGTGGGAAGCAGTTGGGTGAGGTGGGAGCTTGTTCTGAGCACCAGGAAAAGAATTCCAGGAGGAAAACCACCCATCCCTGGGTCCCTCTCCCAAATAAATCCCAGTTAATGTGTTTGTCGGAGACAAGGGGCTCGTTGGAAGAGTGGTTGGAAAAGGGGATTTATTCCTATTTTTTTTATGGCTGGAAAAGGGTCAGGTGGGATTTGGCTCCGTATTTTAGTGGGGTTTGGATCGGGATGGGATTGGGATTGCTGAGCACTTGGAACCTGAGGGGTTACACCATCAGCTCAGACACGTGCTGGGGGTTTATAGCCCATTTTCCAGGGGGAAATGGGAATCTGGGAGGTGATCCCAGCCCTCAGCGCCCTCCTGGTCAGCTCCAGGCCCACAGATATGGATTTCTATTCTTATTCTTCCAATAATTATCATTATTGATATATTTTTATATCTCTCATGGCCCCAGAGCTCTGTGAAAACCCAAACCTGGAGCAACTGCATTTATAGTTATTATCATCACTATAATTATTATTATCATTACTATAATTACCATTATTATAAAGACAATTTGGTATTATTTCATATATTTTTACATCTCTCTGTGGCCCTGGAGCTCCATGAAAACCCAAACCTGGAGCAATTCCAGCTCTGCATTTCTATTATCATCACTATTATCATTATTATCACTGTTACCATTACTGTCACTCTTATCACTATTAGCATCATTGTCATTCAATTTTAGGGTTATTTGATAGGTTTTTGTGGCTCTCTGTGGCCCTGGAGCTGTTTGTCCCACCTGGGGCACTTCCACCCACCCTGTGCTGCAGCTCCACCAGGATTTTGGCCCCGGGGGAATAAACAAATCCCAAATAAACAGATCCCAAATCAACAGCTCCCATATTTTGAGATCACCCTGGCTTTGGGCATCCCCTTATCCAGCATTTCCCAGGGAAAATGAGGGAGGAACCATCTCTTGAGGGGGGTCACGACTCTTGGGAGCAGGGAAGTGGCATCCCTTGGACATCCTGCTTCCAGCAGGACCAAATTCCTCTCATTTGACCCCATTTCCCCCTTTCCAAGCTCTTCAGGTGACATTTTCCTCCTCTCCATCATCCCTTGGGAATTGGGAGGGTCCCTGCTCTGACCTTCCCCTTCCTCCTGGTGACCTTGCAGGGCATCTCTGGTTACGGGAGCGGATGAGCCATCGATCCCAAGGAGGCTCTTTGGCGCTTCCCACCCCCCAGCCCTTCAAACCTGCGGGATTTGCCATCCAGGGGATAAATGTCCCAAGCAAACCCAGCCCTGGCAGCAGTCTCCCGCTTCCTTCCCAGGTTTTGCAGCGGCTGGAGCCGGATCCCTCCCACCTGGAGTCTCCCAGGGATGGATTTGGGGGCTGAGCTTCCTTTTCGACCCCTTTTTCCTTCTCTTCCCCCAGGAAAAACTCGGGAACGGCCCAGGCGGAGCATCCGGCCCCCCCTCGCCATGGCTTCGTCTGAGCTGCCCCCACATCCTGCAGTAGGTACTGTCAACCCTCTGGAGCTGGGAATTTTGGGAAGGGGATCCCTATCCTTGGGCAGAAAGGAGAGTTCATCCTGCATATCCAAACTGGAGCCTCTTGGAATTTTGAGAACACTCAGGGCTGTTGGATCTTGCAGTTTTGGGGGGGTGGGGACTCCCTTCTCCATCCCCCCCTTCTCCGCCCCCCTTCTCCATTCCTGTCTTCCCTCTTCCATCCACCCCCTCTCCATCCATCCCCCCTTGCTGGGGTATCCTGAGTGAATCCCACCTTCTCCATCCCCCTTCTTTTCCATCACCTGCCTCTTCATCTCCCTGTTCCTGGGGGACCCTGAGTGACACTGGATCTCCCCATTCCTGTCCTTCCCTCACTTCTCCATCTGTCGCCCCCTCTCCTCCATCTGCTGCCCTTCTCCATCCCCTTCTTGTTGGGGGACCCTGAGTGACACTGTGAGTCCCCCCTTCTGCATCCATCCCCTCTCTCCTCCATCCCCTCCTCTCCTCCTTCCCCTTTTCTCCATCTCCTCCTTTCTAGGGGCCCCAGAGTGACATTATCTCCCCCTCCATCCTTTCCCCCCCTTCTCCATCGATCCCTCTGCCCATTCCATCCCTCCTTGCCCTTCTCCTCCATCTCCCCCTTCTCCTTTCCCCTCCTTTCCCCTCCATCCCCTCCTTTCCCCTCCATCCCCTCCTTTCCCCTCCATCCCCTCCTTTCCTCTCCATCCCCCCTTTCCCCTCCATCCCTCTCCCCTCCTCCCCGGTCCCCCACTCTCCCGTTTCCCGTGTCCCCCGCTCCCATGTCCCGTGTTCCTGCGGCAGGAGCTGCGGTGCCCCCCGAGCTGCCCAGCCCGGTGCCCGCGGGCAGGGAGGACGTGGGTGAAGCCTTTGACTTTGAGGACAGCGAGGAGGAGGAGGAAGAGGAGGAGGAGGAGGATTCCGTGGCTGATCCCGGGGGGGACGTTGTTCTCCGGGCCCCCCCGCGCCGCCGGCGTGGGACCAGCTCCGGGGGGGGTGAGAGCACAATTCCCGCCGTGTCCCCGATGTCCCCAAGTTGTCCCTGATGTCCCCTCCGGGTCCCCTGTGGGTGTCAACACGGCCTCTCTTTGCTTTTCCTCTCCACAGAGGGGCTGGTGCCGGAGACCCAGGAGGGGTAAGTGGGGTTTTGGTGGGATTGTGGAGGGGTTTGGGACAATTTTGAGTCCCTTGAAGGATCTTTGGGGGAAGTCCCCTCTGTTTGATGTCGCAGCCCGGTGCTGTGCCTCAGTTTCCCCGCCTTCTCCCCACTGCAAGGGCGGGTATCCCTGGGATTTTGGGGTGCACCCCAGAGCCCTGGGAATCTTTGAGGGCTTTGGTGGCATTTTGGTGGGAATTTGGAGGTATTTGATGTGGTTTTGAGTCCCTTGAAGGACCTTTGGAGTCTGTCCCCTCTGATGTCCCAGCGTGTCCTTTTAACGAAACAAAACGTTTTACTAAGGGAGGGCAGGATAGAAAAAAACCCAAACTCCTCCTCCTGAATTATTACAACTTCAAAATTAGGAGGCTTCAGGCCAAAAGGTGTGGAAAAGAAAAATAACAGCTCTTTACTAACAAATATATATCTATATTTAACAGAACAGAACAGGCTACAGCACCATTACCAAAGCTTTCAATGGCACAATTCAGTATTTTCTGCCTCGGCTTATTTACAGCCACAGGCAGCAGGGGGCTGTTCCTGGGGCACAGAGGGATTTCCCCTGGCAAACGTGGGCTCCCCAGGATGCCAGGAAAATGGAAGGAAATTCTCCAAACGACACTGGTCTAGATAAGACAGGGAGCAGCTCCTCAGTGAGTGCTCTTCAGCTGCTCACTGGCGTCCCTGGGGTTTTACCTGAGTTTTACAGTTTTATAGTTCTAATCCATCCCATCTGAGAACTGTTCAACCTCAGATCTTCCCCCCCTGCCCCCGGTATTGGCCACAGATCTTAAAAACTCCAAGGCATCTCCCACAGGGCACCCAGGGAGCTCCCTCCAGGCAAACAGGGCTCCCACACTTTACAAAGGGAATTCCCCCCCGGCACTGTGTCCCCTGGGCTCGGGAAGGGGTGCCTGGTGGGCAGCAGGAGCTGGAGCAGGCAAGGGACAAGAGCCAGCAGGGAAGGGGTGGGTGGGGAAGGGGTGGGTGGGCTCGGCTGGGGGAATGCACAGAGCAGGTCATGTCCCAGAGCACTCCCCGCACAGCCCGCACAGGGTCAGGCAGGTTGAACCCCTCCCACTCCCGTTCTTTTCCAGGGATATCCCCTTTTCCCCCCTCCCCACCCTGGCCTGGTGCCCTGGTTTGGCTGCAGTTCAGTGTAAGCCGTTCTGTTTGGGGTTCAGACTCCTCGGCCCAGCTCCCTCCCCCGGGGCCTCGGCAGGAGGAGCAGGGGGTGCCCCACCCTGGCAGGAGGAGCAGAGGGAGCCCCACCTTGGCAGAGAGAACCATGAGCTGTTTTTCAACAGGACAGTCGCTCAGGCCTGATGTTTCTTTTGTCCCAGCAGAGGCTGTTGTTGGTGTGGAAAATTCACCAGGGAGTGTGAGACTGTAGCACTCAGCCTGGTGCTGAGCCTCCCTTGCCCTGACTTTTCCCTCTTCTCTGGTGAAGGGGCTGCAGGCAGGGGAGCCCCGGGGTTTTGGGGTGCAGCTGCAGCCCTTGGGGGGTGGATTTTGGGTGGGTTTGAGTTCCCTGAAGGATCTTTGGGGCCTGTTTGATGTCTCAGCCTGGTGCTGAGCCTCAGTTTCCCCAACTTCTCATCTTTCCAAGGCTCTGCAAGCAGGGGTGCCCTGGTGTTTTGGATTTTTAGGGTGCACCCTGTAACCCTGGGGGTCTGTGGGGACATTGGTGGGGTGTGGAGGGGTTTGGGGGGATTTTGAGTCCCTTGAAGGAGTTTTGGGGTCTGTCCCCTCTGTTTGATGTCTCAGTTTCCTCAACTTCTCCCTGTTGCAAGGGGAGGGATCCCTGGGATTTTGGGGTGCACCCCCCAGCCCTGGGGATCTGTGAGGGCTGTGGGTGGTGGGGGCTTCCTCCAGCCCCCAGCTGGAGGGGATTGGGGAGAATCCCCTTGGGATGACTGTTGAAGTGGCTGGTTTCCTCCCCAGCTGTGGATCTGGGGGGAAAAGCTGGAAATTTGGCTGCAGGGAGGGCTTGTCCCCCTGGCAGAGCAGGAACAGGGTGTGGGGAGAGGGACAGGAACCCACCAGGAATGGGGGGGGAACCCTCTCCCTGTGCTCCCCAGTGCTGGCACACCCCCTGCCCTGCAGCAGCACATGGACTGAGGTTAAAAAAGCCAATTTTGGGTGTTTTGCATTATCTTTGAGTGTGACCCTCAGACCAGGGACCCCCAATACCATGAAGAAGCAGATGGGGGGAGGGGAGGGGACACAAGCTTTATTTTGAACCTGTGAACCCCTGGCATGGGAATAGGGGTGGGGAGGAGCTTGGCTGCAGCCAATCCTGAGGGATTTGCAGCCTGGGATGCTCCCTGACCCTCCCTCCCCACAGGGCCCCGGTGAGGATGAGCAATGGGGAGGCTGGGGGAGACCCCCACACCCGCACCCAGACCTGGAAGAGGGAGAGCATCTGCCGAGGTGGGTCCAAAGGCTGGGACAACCCCCCTGCCAAGGCTTGGGAAGGATTTCTCCAGCCTGGGTGCTGAGCCAGCCCCCGGGGGGATTTTGTCCCCCAAAGGTGAGCGGTTTTCCTTCCCGGAGGTGGAGGACGACGTGATCTACGACGACGTTCCCTGCGAAAGCCTGGATGCCGAGCAGGATGGTAGGGATAGACCTTCCCCCACCCTTTCCCAAGGGCTAGGAGCCCATTTTCCAGCTGGATAAACTGAGGTGCTCAGGGAAGGAGAAGGCCATCCTCAAAGAGGATGTGGAGCGGGATAGCTGAGGGAAAACCAGTGGGATTGGGAGGGAGGTGCGAGGGTTTGGGGTGTCTCTGGGTGGTCCCTGAGGAAGGGAATTTGCCTTCCTGTAAGGAAAAGGAGCTGGATTTTCCTTGGCAGGAGCAGGGAGGGAGAGGAGCCTGATCTATGAGGAGGTGCAGCGAGGAGAGGGGTCCCGGATCAGCGAGGATTTGGGCTGGAGCTCCAGTGAGTTCGAGAGTTACAGCGAGGACTCTGCAGAGGAAAGCAAAGCCGGGGCCGAGCCCACCAAACACCGAGCGTCCTTCCAGCCCAAGGTAACCTTTGCATCACCCCTCTATGACCTTTATTGTTGTTTTTCCCTGGGTTTGCTTGTCCAAAGGCAGTGGAGCACCAAGCCCAGCTGCTCCCGCGGCTGGTGAAGCCGAGGATGCTGCGGCTCAACCCCAGCCTCGGGAGGGGTTCATTTCTTTCTGTTTTCCTTCCTTCCCTTTTTCATTTTTCCCCCTTTTCCTTCTGCGTTTGGGCCCTGCTGGAGCCTGGCTGCTGCTTTTCCCTGCGCTTGCTCCCTTCCCTGCTCGAGCCAAGCCAGGCTTTTGGGATGGTGCTGCCTGGGCCCTGCTGCTCTGGGGGGATTTCTGCTCTTTGTTTGGTTTTTGCTGCTTACCTGGATCTCTTCTCTGCCTCCTCCTCCTCCTCCTCCTGCCTGGTTTGCTTGAGCTCAGCTTTCTCCAGACCTGAATAGACTAAAGGAGAGATACGCCAGGACTAAGAGGGACATCCTGGCTTTAAGAGTTGGGGGGAAGGACATGCAGGAGCTGAAGCAGAAGTACGATTGGAAGGTACTGTCCCTCCTCCATCCCTTGTCCCTTCTCCCCCAGATTTCCCAGGGGGAGGAAAAAAAAAACCAACAACAAAACCTCGTGGAATTTCTCCAGGCTGAATTCATCCCATTTCATCTCCCCCAAAAAGAGAAACAAACTCAGTGAAGCACCTCAAAGCTGCCTCTCATGTCCATCTGTCTTGCAGCTCCCCGTCCTGCAGCTTCCCAAACCGTTGGATTTTGGGGTCTTTCCTTGTTTTTAAAGGGGCGTTCGGACGGCGCCGGGTTTCCCACGGGATAGATGGATCTGACAAGGTTTTTTTTTCCCCTGATCTGTGGTGGAAATCGGGTGGGGAAGGAGATTTTTGGGAGAACCTTAGAGCAAAGCCTTTCCCAGCCCCCAAAACCATCCAGCTGTTTCCTGGCTGGAAGTTTGGGCTGAGACGCTGTTATCTGAGGTGTGAAAGGCCAACACTTCCCCCCCCACACCCTTTACTCTCCCCCACATAAAACCCCTGCACAAGGAGGGGATGGATGTGCTCCTGCCTCCCTTCCCTCCCTCTGCTTTGCTTGGCTGCATGATCCTGCTTGCACTCAGCCATATCCCTATGGATGGGGCACAGGACAGATCATCCCTGTTCCCTGGATATGTGCCTTCCCTTCCTGCTGCATGGGAAAACGGGGATGATGCCTCTGCATCTGGATCCCAAGTGGGGCACGATGCCCAGGGGAAGGACACGGCTCCATCTGGGTCCAGAATGGGATCCCGGTGCTGCCTGAGCCTCCCGATCCTTCTCCTTCCCCTCCCCAGATGACCCAGCTGATGAAAGCGGCCAAAAGTGGCACCAAGGATGGTTTGGAGAAGACCAAGATCGCGGTGATGAGGAAGGTGACGTTCCTGCACCGGAAAGAAACACCAGGTGAGTGGGAAAACCAACCCTTCTTCCCCTTCTGGAGCCAAAAAGGCACCTTTTTTGAAGGTACCTTTAAAAATAATCTCCAGGAATCCCCATCCCTTTCAGCATTTCCTTTATTTCTGATTTATTTTCTGCATTTTAAGCTTCTATTTGACTGTTTTCCACTCTTGGGCATCCCTGTGCAAGCTCGGTCCCTTCTTGCTCCGTATCCCTTTGGGAGCACCCGTGGGTGTCTTTGGTCACAGAGCAGGATCTTCCCGGGAATATCGGGTTTGGGGGGGTGTTTCCTGACTTTCCTGCTGTCACGTAGGGGATGGGGAGCGGAGGAGGAGGGCGGAGGAGGCGGGAAAGCCGCCGCCTTCCCGCCGGAGCTCGAGGGTGTCCCTGGAGCAGCACGGGGGAGGTACGATCCCGATGGGCGGCCCCGCCGTCCGGCCGGAGCTTCCCGGGGGATCCCGCGTGTGTGTCCCGGCCTGGCTGCACGTCCCCACCGTGGCTTTGCCTCGCTGGGGTGGGGGCTTCGACGCTTTTGGGAGGAGCTGGAGGGATTCCCGTCGCCCGGGAGCATCCCTGGCACGTGGGGATGGGGAGAAGGTGGAGCTGGCGGAGCCGAGGGTGGCGATTTGTCCCGGCCAAAATTAGGGAAGGAAAAAAGTCAGCCGGCTGCCAACGCCCTCCCCTCCAGCCCGGCCGGTCCTGCCCCTTCCCGGCTATTTATAGCTCCCAGGATGAGCCGGGCGGCCGGAGGGGGCCATGTGGAAGAGGCGGCCGTGCTTCCCTCGGGATGCCTCCTTGGCTCGCTCGCCCTCCTCCTCCTCCGCTGCTTCAGCCTCGGGTGAGGGATCCCTGTGCCTTCCCCTTCCCTGTTTTTCTCTGCCTGCTGCTTCTGGCTTCTTATTCCACATTTTCCCTGCTCCACCTGCCCCTGGAGAGAGGACAAGGGGGCTTTTCCCCAGCCAGGGTGGGTTTTTGGGAGTGGGGACTCTCCTTGTCCTCTCCCTGCTCCCAGCCTGGCTCATCCCGGTGTCTGGTGACTGTGGTGTGAGCTCAGGGAGGAACGCTGGGATTCAGCTCCAAACCCAAACACATCCCCTGCCACGGAGCTGATGGAGCTCCAGACCCCGAAAAGTTTAAACTCGGGGTTTTTTGGCATTTTGTGGGGGTGTCTTTCCCTGCAGGGGACTCAGAGGAGGAGGACACGGGGTTCCTGGAGGTCACGGTGTCGGACATGAAGCACCCGCCGCCGGAGCTGGGCCCCATGCCCGAGGGGCTGAGCCCTCAGCAGGTGGGACTGGCGTGGGTTGGGGGCTTGGGGGGATTTGGGAGGGAATTATCTCACCCCTGGTCCCATGACGGAGGAACCAGGGACAGGGAGAGTCAGCTCCAAGTGATGCTGTGTCAGCACTTCTGCCCCGGCTGGGCCTGCAGTTCCCCCATCACGGGGTTTAGGGGTGGGGGGATCATGGCTGAGCCCCTCATCCCAGCATTTGGGGTTTGGGACCACCCCAGTGTTTGGAGTCTGAGACCATTCTGGCATTTGGGGTTTGGGACTGTGGCTGAGGCCCCCCCATCCCGGTATTTGGGTTTGGGACTATCCCAGTATTTGGGACCATGACTGAGCCCCTCCATCCCAGTATTTGGGGTTTGGGACCATGGCTGAGCCCCCATCCCAGCATTTGGGGTTTGGGGCCATCCCAGTATTTGGGGTTTGGGCCATCCCAGCATTTGGGGTTTGGGGCCATCCCAGTATTTGGGGTTTGGGGCCATCCCACCATTTGGGGCTGGGGCCATCCCACCATTTGGGGTTTGGGGCCATCCCACCATTTGGGGCTGGGGCCATCCCACCATTTGGGGTTTGGGCCATCCCACCATTTGGGGTTTGGGCCATCCCACCATTTGGGGTTTGGGGCAATCCCACCATTTGTGGTTTGGGGCCATGTCACCATTCGGGGTTTGGGGCCATGTCACCATTCGGGGTTTGGGGCCATGTCACCATTTGGGGTTTGGGCCATCCCACCATTTGTGGTTTGGGGCCATCCCACCATTTGGGTTTGGGGCCATGTCACCATTCGGGGCTGGGGGTCCCAGCTCATTCCCGCTGTCCCGCAGGTGGTGCGGCGGCACATCCTGGGCTCCATCGTGCAGAGCGAGCGGAGCTACGTGGAGTCCCTGAAGCGCATCCTGCAGGTGGGATCCCTGGGGGGCCTGGCTGGGGGCGTCCCCGCGGATCCCGGGGTGCTGACGCGCCGCCGCTCCCGCAGGATTACAGGAACCCGCTGCTGGAGATGGAGCCCAAGGTGCTGAGCGCCAGGAAGTGCCAGGTGGTGTTTTTCCGGCTGAAGGAGATCCTGCAGTGCCACTCCATGTTCCAGATCGCCCTCGCCTCCCGCGTGGCCGAGTGGGACTCGGCCGAGAAGATCGGGGACCTCTTCGTGGCCTCGGTAGGAGGGGCTCGGGGAGGAAACTCTTTCCAGAAGGAGCGATCCGGCCTTGGAAGGGGCTGCCTGGGAAGGGGGTGCAGTCACCATCCCTGCAGGGGTTTAGGAGGAGAGTGGATGTGGCATCAGTGCCACGGTCGGGGTGACGAGGCGGGCCTGGGTCAGAGGTTGGGCTCGATGATCTTGGGAGTCTTTTCCAAACCTCAGTGACTCTGGGATTCTGTGAAATCCAGGAGAAATGCACCCTCTGCTGTGACAAAGCTGTTTAAGAAGCCCTGCCCTGCAGTCAGGAGGTGCAGAAAGGCCCCCCAACCTTCCTCAACTCCGAGAGGATGGAGCTGGATCCCATCTTAGCCTCAGATTGTGTCACCAGCTTAAATGTGAGGAGTTAGAGAGTGTGATGGAACCACTGCTGTCCTGCAGGTTTTGACTCTGCCAAACTGAGGGTATTTGTGTCAAATGGATTATTTATTAGTACAAGTGATCAGACAGAAGATCTCCATCAGAATGATTTACTGTGCAATCTAAAAGCTAAACCTACTATTGTAAGATAGGATGGTGCACGATACTAAAGCAATTATTGGAGCAGTTATGTTATAGCAAAAAGAAATAATTGGCAGGTGGAGGTTTGGTTACACTCACCCAGACCAGTGGCTGTGGGGAGATTCCTTTCTCTCAGCCTCCAGGAGTGTCCCCACGCGAGGGAGGGATCTCCACACAACCACCCCAAGAAGGGTTATGCTGCAAAACCCTCCCGTGTGAAGGTGGCCCGGGCTTTTATTGTAGCAGAGTGTGCTGCTCACACATTTCCAGGCCAGGGAGCAGCTTATCTGTCAGATCCTGCTTCCGAGAGCAGGATGTGTTTGGAGTTTGGTGAACCAGGCTGGTTTGGGCACAACCGAACACCAAAACACCTTCTGGCCCCAGCAGGAGCTCAGCACAGCCACCCTGGAGGAGGGCTGGTGGTGTTTGCATTCCCTGACTGCATTCCAGGTAGACTGCATTCCATGCTCAGAGTAGAACCTGCCTCAGCCACCACCAAAATGCCCCCTGGACCCTCCAAGCGACACCAGGGGGTGGGTGGAGGATTTAAGCGACGTAGCTTGAGCCTTGGGGTCTCATCAGCACACTCAGCATCAACCCCAAAAACACGCCAACCCCCCACTTTTGGGGGACTCCCACCCCATCCCGGCTGTGTTGTGCTCTCCCCAGTTCTCCAAGTCCATGGTGCTGGATGTCTACAGTGACTACGTCAACAACTTCACCACGGCCATGTCCCTCATCAAGAAGGCCTGTCTCACCAAACCCGCCTTTCTCGACTTCCTCAAGGTCAGCACCCCCCAGATGTGGGCCCACCGTGCTTCTGGGCACCGTTTGGGGTGAAAACTCCTCTTTGATTTTTTTTTTGGCCTTTGCTTCCCCACCGCAGAAGAGGCAGATGGCGAGTGCCGACCGGGTCACGCTCTACGGGCTGATGGTGAAGCCCATCCAGAGGTTCCCTCAGTTCATCCTTCTGCTGCAGGTACGGGAGAGAGACACCTGCACCCACCTTGCTTTGCACCCCTGGGATGTGCCTTTGCACCCGTTTTTTGGCACGTTTTAGGGTCGGCAGCTTGGGGGCGTCTTCGGGGACTGTCCCAAGGACTGTCTTCCAAGCTCTGGTTTTGGAGGTGCTTCCGAAGGTGGCTGATTTTTTTTCTGGGGTGGTTTTTGTGTCTCCTCCCTCCTTTCCTTTCTCCAGGACATGCTGAAGAACACCCCCAAGGGCCACGCAGACCGCCTGTCCCTGCAGCTGGCCCTCACCGAGCTGGAGACGCTGGCGGAGAAGCTCAACGAGCAGAAGCGCTTGGCCGACCAGGTGGCCGAAATCCAACAGCTCAGCAAGAGCATCAGCGACAGGAGCAGCCTCAACAAGGTGGGCCCTTCGGCCTCCCCTCCTCGTCCTCCTCACGGGTGGGTTTTTGCAGATCCCTGCTTTCCCTGGAAGGACTTGAATCAAAACCAGGTCTTGGGGTTGGCGCAGGGAAATTCCTCTCCCAGGACGAGCTGCTGGGTCTCATCCCCCGATTTCGCAACTGTTTGTGTTTAAAAAAAGAGCCTGAAGCTCTTGCGACACTTCCTGGGCCGGGGATGGCAAAACCCGCAGCGGGGCACCCGCTGGCTCAGCCCTGGGATCAGGATTGGGGTGCAGGGCGTGAAGAGACGCCCAGAAAAGGGTGGTTGGACACGCGGGGTGCAAAGGGTGCAGCCTCGGAACTCGGGGCTGTGGGTGCGCCCCGCTGGGGGAAAATCCTTGTGAGAATGGAAACCCGGCCCAGATTTTGGGTCAGGAGGCTTCCAAGAGCCCCCAGGCTGAACCCCCCACCTGCTCCATCCCTTTGCAGCTGCTGAGCTCGGGGCAGAGGCAGCTCCTGCTCTGCGAGACGCTGACGGAGACGGTGTACGGGGACCGGGGGCAGCTCATCAAGTCCAAGGAGAGGAAAGTTTTCCTGCTCAATGACATGTTGGTCTGTGCCAACATCAACTTCAAGTACGTGCTGGTCCCCCAGGCCCCACAATTGCTTTGTAAAGTGCAGATACACCCAACTTGCCCCATCCCCACCTTAATTTTTGGCTTGGTGGGATCTTTGGGGAACTACCGCAAGGAGGGAGAGGACCTTTAAAGGCCACCCTGCCTTGTTTTGGGTGGGGGGAACCCACCTGGTCTGGGGTTTCTTTGCCCCATTCTTGGCACTCCCCATACCAAGCCTGCATTCCTTGGTGCTGGAGTCAGTGCAGGGTCCAGGAACCTGCTGGAACCTTGGGGCTTGGGGGAGGTCGATGCTGCCAAGGGGAAGAACTTCCTTAAATTCGTCCTGAAACTTCCTTATTAATCCTTTTCCCCTTTTCCAGGCCAGTGAACGCAGGGTAGGTCCCATACATGGTCTGCTGTGCTTGTGTGCCCCGAGCTGGGGGTTCAGGCACGAACTGGTGCACGGTGTGGGCTCACAAACGGGGCTTGGCTTGCACGACTCACTGCTCGGGGCCAGCCGAGGCACCTGCCGCTCATTTACACCCGTTTTCCTCTCTACCCTCGGCAGAGGCCAACTGGAAATCAGCAGCCTGGTGCCCCTGGGGCCCAAATACGTGTTGAAGTGGAGCACGGCCCTCCCGCAGGTGCAGGTGGTGGAGGTGGGGCAGGAGAGCGGCGCCTACGACAAGGACAACGTCGTCATCCACAACGCCGGGGCCAAGAGACACGCGCCCGCCGGGCAGGCCTCGCACAGTGAGGGCACACCCTGCCAGCCTGGCACTGGGGGGGCTCTGGGGGCTGCTTTGGAGCATTCCCTCACACAGTGGGCAGCCCAGGGGGAATGGAATCCCTGTCCTTGCAGGTCTTTAGGGAAAGGCTGAACGTGGCATTCGGTGCCGTGGTGGTGTCGGGTCAAAGGTTGGACTCAATCTCGGATATTCCCCCCAAGTTGTTTCTGGGATCCTCCATGGGCCACAGTTCTCCAGTTTTCCACGCAAGATAAAGTCACGCAAAGTCTGCCCTGGGAGGGGGGTGGAGACACCATCCCTGGGGGTCTGTAAGGAGAGACCACCTAGTGCCACGGTCTGGTTGATGTGGTGCTGTTGGGTCAAAGCTTGGACTCAGTCTCAGAGGTCTTTTCTAACCAACCTTATTGATTCTGGGATCTTCCACGGACCTCAGCTCTCCATTTTTCCTCCTTAGATAAAGTTTACCTGGGGCCACCACGGCTCTTCCAGGAGCTGCAGGACCTGCAGAAGGACCTGGCGGTGGTGGAGCAGATCACCCTTCTCATCAGCACCTTGCACGGCACCTACCAGGTACCCACAGCACTGTCAGGGGCATGGCTTGGGTACAACCAGCCTTGGGCCCTTCCCAAGCACCACGTGGTTCCTTGGGGCTCTCTGGTCACCTCTTTGGGGTCTCTGGGCACCTTCTGGGGGATCACTGGGCACATCCTTGGGGACACTTCCTCTGGAGCCCCACAGATGAAATTTGGGGGTGGTTCGGGCTTGTTTTGGGGGCCCTTCCCCCACCTGTGCCTTTCCCCCAGAACCTGAACATGACAGTGGCCCAGGACTGGTGCCTGGCCCTGCAGAGGATGATGAAGGTGAAGGAGGAGGAGATCCACTCTGCCAACAAGTGCCGCCTCCGGCTCCTGCTCCCCGGGAAGCCGGACAAGTGAGTCTGGGCTCATGGGCGGCTCCTCCCAGCCCGGAGGGGGCTGAGGCCCCACCCAGGGGGTGCTGAGGACCCACCCTGGGGTGCTGAGGCCCCACCCAGGGGTGCTGAGGCCCCACCCTGGGGTGCTTTGCCCACGCAGGTCCGGCCGCCCCATCAGCGTCATGGTTGTGTTCATCACTCCCAGCCCCCTGAGCAAGATCTCCTGGGTGAACCGCCTGCACCTGGCCAAGATAGGCCTGAGTGAGTAGCCATCAGCATTCCTTGGAAAAGCCAGGCTTGGGAGCATCGCTCCCAACCCAAACAGGGCGGGGAGGGGAGGGGGGAACACTGGGAGTAAGGGCATGGAGAACATCTTGGAGCTCTGCAGGGTGGGAATTGGGAGCTCTGGCTCCAAATGCTTTGGGATCTGCTGCTCTGGGGTGGGATCTGCAGGCTGGAGACACAAAGTGACAGGTTTCCTTTGGCTCACGTGGCAGCGGGGTCAGGGCTGACCCATTTTCCATGGAATGGGATGAATGAGCAAGGGAGGAACTTCCTGCCACTTCCCCATCCCTATCCCTCTATAACTCCCTCAACCACTGCAGCAGCAAAAATAAGTTTAATAGAAGAAAATAAAAATCATTTCAAATTCTGTTTGAATGCTCAGATCCCCCTGGGCTGGAATAAGTTATGAGTCTCTTGTTTTTTAACAGTTCGTGTTTTGTTTTCCCTTTTTTTTTTTTTTTTTTTTATCCTGGGGGATAATCCTGTATCCACGAGTTAGAAATGAAAACACATTAAAGCCTGATGTGAAGAAACACATCAGGGGGTGGTTTTTTGCCCTTCTGTATCTGGGTTTTGTGACTTTTTTTGTTGCTGCTGGAGGCGGTTCCTTGGCCGTGCGCTGCAATAATTTGAAGCAGGGGGTGAGGTGTATCCCAAATCCATGGATAACGGTGCTTTAGGGTTGGGGGTGAGAGCCCTGCACCTGAAGTTATAAATTTTGGGCTCTTCTTAGGGTCTTGGTGACCTCCTTGTGTCTGTGCAGGGGAGGAGAACCAGCCGGGCTGGCTCTGTCCCGACGAAGACAAGAAGAGCAAAGCCCCTTTCTGGTGCCCCATCCTCTCGTGCCACATGCCAGCCTTCTCCTCCAAAGCCCTTGATCTGCAGGTGAGAGCCAAGAGCAATCTCTTCTCCATCCCTCCTTGCCTTCCCATCCCTCATTTTGGGGAGGAAGGGCCAGGATCCCACAGTGGGTGGGGCCGGACGGGGCGTCCCAGGTTGGTCGCGAGGGCAGAAAATGGTGCAGCCCACCCTGGAAAGCTGGAAATAGCAGCAGGGCTGTGGCTGGATCCCAAATTTTGGGATGTCCACTGCTATCCTGCCTATGTTGGGGTAATTGGGTCCTCGGTTGCCCCTTTCCCTCCATCCTTTTGAGGAAGAAGGGCAGAAACCCTGCAGTGGATGGGGCGTCCCAAGTTGATCGTGAGGGCAGAAAATGGTGCAGCCTACCCTGGAATGCTGGAAATACCAGCTGGGCTGTGGCTGGATCCCCGATTTTGGGGCGTCCACTGCTGTCCTGCCTGGTGTTGTGGATAATTTTGGGGGTGCTGCCCTGCTCTGTCCCCAGCTCGGAGCTGCAGTTCACAACCCCGTGCAGTCCTCCCTGCTGGGCTTCTCCGCCGTCAGCACGTCGCTGCCGCAGGGCTACCTCTGGGTGAGCAACCCCTCCAAAACGGGGCCAAACCCCTTGGCTTTGGGCCATTCTGTCCCCAACCCCCTTCCCCCCTGGGGTGGTGGTGGGTGTTGACCCCGCTGTGTGGCCCCCACAGGTGGGGGGCGGCCAGGAGGGCGCGGGGGGGCAGGTGGAGATCTTCTCCCTGAACCGCGCCGTGCCGCGCACCGTCAAGTCCTTCCCGGTGGCCTCGCCGGTGCTGTGCATGGAATACATCCCAGAGCCAGAGGAAGGGGATCCCCCGGGCTGCCAGGAGCCCCGAGCCAGCGAGCAGCCCCCCTCAGCCCCTCACCCCACCGTGTGCCTGGGGCTGCAGGACGGCAGGTGAGCCCCGACCTCCGGCATCCACCCCATCCACCCACCCCGGGGGAGCAGCGGGGCCTCCTGCAGCTCCCACCCCCCCTTCCCTCCGCAGCATCCTGGTCTATGGAAGCGTGGACACGGGAACGCCGTGCCTGCTGAGCTGCAAAAGCCCGGGAATGCAGCCCATCCTGTGCCTGAGGCACAGCCCCGAGTTCCTGTTTGCCGGCCTGCAGGACGGCACCGTGGCCGCCTATCCCCGGAGCAACGGTGAGGACACGCCTTTTTGGGGGAAACCTCCTAAAAAAAACCCTGGAATAAGAAGTTCTTCGTGGAATTAGGAGGTTCTCATGCCAGGGCTGCTGAAATAGTGATAAATCTCCATTTTTCATTGTTTTTACCCCCAAAATTTCGTCCTTCCCCTCACAGCCCTGGGCAGGAAAAGTGCTGCTTTTCACTGAATGCAAGAGGGATTTGTTCTGGGTGGGGGGAACAGCTGGAAAATTATCCTGCTGAGGGCTGGATAGGGCAGCAAAGGCTTTGCTTGGGGGCTGCAGGAAGGGTCTGATGATGGGACGTGCAAGGATTTGGAGCTTTTGCCTTCCAAAAATCACCTTTTTGGTGCTGTAAATGGCGCTGGTCCCCTCCAACCCCCACCCATGAAGACACTCTTTCCTTTATCAGCCTGAGTTCGCGTTTATTTGCCCTGGTTCTGGCTCAGGCTGAGCTTTCATCCCTCCCCAGGGACTGCTTGCCTGGGTAAATACCTTTTTTTCGTCGCTAGAGGGTAGGAAAGAGCCTCAAATAATGTGGAACTTGGCCTATTTTTGAACAAACTCCCTTGTTTTCTCCAAGAACCTGCAGGGAGCAGCACCCAAGTCAACCCTGAGCCACTAAACCCCCTTAAATTGCATTTCTGGGTGCTGCACGTCCCCTTTCCCAAATTACAGCAACCCCGGGAGCCAATTAAAGTCACTTTTAATTGGATTTTGATTGTGTAAATGCACAGCGATGGCAGCAAGCTGCTGGCAGGGCTGCAGGGTGGAGTTTTTAATCTTTCCCCTATTTTTTTGGAAGGCAAAAGCTCCCCTGAAATAGCTGAAACGAGGATTTGCTGAAAGAGGAATCAGTTGCAAACCCCTGCTGATGGGAGAAGAGGTTGGAGGATCCAAAGGGCTCTTTTATCCATCAGATCTTAGGGTTTGAGTTTAAAAAAAAAAAAAAAGGCATTGGAAATTTAAAAAAAAAAAAAGGAGAGTGATTATGTACTGAAGCTGCTGGTGGTGGATTCATCCAAATCCAGATTGGAAGCTGTTCACAGGGACACTCCAGAACGGCCCTGGAGTGTCACTTGAAGAGCAAATAAATGGGGAAAAAAGGGGGATTTTTGGCTTTTCCAACAAGGAACGTGCCCGAGTGCTGCAGGTGGGCAGCCGTTCCTTGCTCCAAAGCTGCGTGCACGGGAGCAGTGGGATTCTGGAGGGGTTGGAACAGGGCAGGGGGAGAATAACCCTCCCTTCATCCTTCTGGTTGGGGAATCGGGATCCTTGGAGAGGTGGGGGGTCCCCAGTGAGCCCAGCACGCGTTGGGGGGGTTCAGCTCCACGCAGGGGTGACGTTCCTGGTGGGTGCTGCCCACTGAGCCCGCTCCCCGTGCCGCAGGGGGGCTGTGGGAGCCGGCAGTGCCGCCCACCCGCCTGGCCGTGGGCAGCGGCCCCGTGCGAGCCCTGCTCACCCTGGAGGACACCCTGTGGGCCAGCTGTGCCAACCAGGTCACTGTGCTCGAGACCACCACCCTCCGTGCCCAGGTAGGAGCGTCCCCAGAACTCCTGGATCTGCATCCCTTGGGAACGGGTGGGAGGCTCCGAGATGGGGGAGGTTGAGCCACAGATGATCCCCCTGAGCGGGGCCATCCCCGCCTGGCACTGCCCAAACCAACTTTTCCTTGCTGCTTTCCCTTGTTTTTGCTCCCTCCCCTCCTGTGTTGGGTGCCGAGCCCCCTCCTGCAGCTGCATCCCCAGGGAATGCTGCAGAGCCACTTTTTGCTTCCACAAAAAAACCCACCTTTAATTTTCACATGGAGTGCCCCAAACTCGGTTTGCATGTATTAGCTGTGGTAAATCCAGCCCCAGGGTGGTGCTGGAGATGAATTATGCATTGGGGACTGCATTCCTTTCCAGGCTCCCTTTTTATTGATGACAGGAGGGAATTTTTTATCTTTTTTTTTTTTTTTTGGCAGAAGAAGGGGGGGAAAAAATAGGGGTGGGGGTTGCAGTGGAATGATGTGAATAGTGTTGTGGAATAGGGTCTTGGTCTGGGAATAAACCAGCAGGGAATGGATCCCATGGAGGGTGGGAAATAAGGGGGAGGTCACCTAAAAATCTCTCTTCACCCCTGTTTTTGGGAAAGGTTTTTTGGGAGATGCTTTTTGCCCCTTCTATGGGAAGGGGATCAACCCCAGGTCCCCTTTTTTTCACTATAAAGTAAATTTTAAAGGCCAGGCTGCAGCAGAGATGGTTTTGGATGCCAAAAAGGTGCTTTTCCTGCAGTTTGCATCTCGTGTCTGACAGGGAAAATGCTCCAGTGGGGAGTTTGGGAAGCAGATGGACCCATCCATGGTCCCCAAGGATCCTGGGGCTGGGGGGGCTGAGCCTCTCCTGACTGATTTTTGGGATTGCAGGAAGCAGGAGGGTCTCAGCCTGTCCTGAGATGGATTTTGCAGATGCATTTGGTTTGGGAAATGAATCTTTCAAAGAAGGACAAAACCCCTGGAGGGCTGGGAAAGGCTGTGTTAGCATCCCAAAAACCCTGGAGGGGTTTGCAGATGGGCTGGTTCCTGGGTGCTCTCCCACAGCTGGAGCTGCTGGGGAGGGATGGGAGCTCGGGGTCCCTCTGGGCCCTCCCTGTGCAGCTCTGCAGCCCCAAAGCAGCTCCTGGGGAGAGCCCAAGCTGGCAGCAATTTTGGGGAACCCCCCCTTTGATTTCCTTCTTGGGCTTTTCCCCCAGCAAACGTTCGAGGCGCACCCTGAGGCCGAGGCCAGCGTGACCCACATGGTGAAGGCGGGCAGTGGGGTCTGGATGGCCTTTTCCTCGGGCTCCTCCATCCGCCTCTTCCACACCGAGACCCTGGAGCACCTGCAGGAGATCAACATCGCCACCAGGACCACCTTTGTGCTGCCAGGTGAGCCCCCAGAGCCCCCCTGGCATTGCCCTGGGGACTCCTGCTTGACTCTGTCCTTCCCATCCCTGCTCCCCAGAGGGACTGGAGAGGGACTGGGGGATGGATGAGGCTTTGGAGCTCTGGGCTCAGCTCACGGACTGAAGAGGTGGAGCTGGTGGTGTCTTTGCACCTGGGTGTGTATCCAGGAATCCCATCTTTGCATCCCCATGTGTGCACTTTATCCATGTGCTCCATCCCTGCACGTGTCCTGCACATGCACCTCATCCCTGTCCCCCATCCCTGTCCCCCATCCCTGTCCCCCATCCCTGTCCCCCATCCCTGTCCCCCATCCCTGACCCCCATCCCTGTCCCCCATCCCTGTCCCCCATCTTTTCCCTCCCATCCTTGCCCCATTCAGCATCCATGCACACCCCATCATTACCCTGTACACCCCTTTCCCCCCATTTCCCCCCATCCCATTCCCATCCGTGTCTCCCTGCCCTCCCTGGGCCGTTCCCCCCTGGAGCTCCACAATCGTGTCACCAGTCCCGACCTCGAGTCTCGTGGAAATCCCTTTTGCTCCAATTTTTTTCCCGCTTTTTTTAGGGCATGTTCAAATATTCATCACTCCCCCTTCTTCCTGGGCGAGCAAGTGTTGGGGATTAATGCATTTTTGAACTTGTGCTCCCTCATCCTTTTTAAGTTGGCAGGTCATTAATAAAATCCTCCCGGAGTTGCATCTCCGTGGATTTATTGCTTCTCCGAGTCGGGCGTCGTGCAGCGCTAAGTCCTGCTGATAAAATATTCACTTGCCATTAGAAGTCTCACTTTTCTCTCCTTTTTTTTTTTTTTTCCCTTACTCTCCTTTTTATTTATTTAAATTTTTAGCCCTTTACGTGCCATGGAGACCTTCGTGCCGAGGTGCTGCTTTGGTTTTTGGCGGGGGTGGGGGGGGCTTCCAGAGGCAAAAAATCCACAGGTGACGGGGTTTTTTTGGGAGTTTGATGTGAAATTGCCCCTCGGCCTCTTTGTTTGCCCCTCCCCAGGTCAGAAGCATGTGCGTGTCACCAGCCTGCTCATCTGCCAGGGCTCGCTCTGGGTGGGCACCGACCAGGGCATCATCGTGTTGCTGCCCGTGCCCCGCCTGGAGGGGATCCCCAAAATCACCGGTGAGCCCCCGCCCCCCTTCCCTGCCCAGAATCCCGCATTTCCAGGCTGGTTCGCAGCCACATCCCCGTGTTTTCCCACCAGGAAAGGGCATGGTGTCCCTCAACGGCCACGCGGGCCCCGTGGAGTTCCTGGCCGTGGCTCTGAGCACTTTGGCCCCCGACGTCCTCAAGGGCGACCGGGAGGAGGAGGAGGAGGCGGCGGAGGAGGAGAAAGCCCCGGAGCTGGACGGGCCTCCCCCTCGGGAGCTGAGGAAGAAAGGGATCCTGCTGCAGTACCGCCTGCGCTCCACGTCCCACCTGCCGGGCCAGCTGCTGTCCGTGCGGGACGCGCCGCCCGGAGCGCCCGCGCACACCGAGGAGGACGGCTCCATCTACGAGATGGCCGACGATCCCGACGTGTGGGTGAGGAGCCGGCCCTGCGCCCGGGACACGCCCAGGAAGGAGATCTCCTCGGTGGCCATCGTGTCCGGGGGCCGCGGCTACCGCAACTTCGGCGGGGACGGCCCGCGCCGGGGGGACAGCGACAGCGCCCTGCTCATCTGGCAGGTCCCGCTGATGCTCTAGCGTTCCCGGGATTCCTCACTCACCGCTGGTGCTGCAGCGTTCCCGGGATTCCTCACTCACCCACTGATGCTGCAGCGTTCCCGGGATTGCAGCCCTCCCTGCTCAGCTGGCAGATCCTTCTGCTGCTGCAGTGTTCCCGGGATTCCTCACTCACCCACTGATGCTGCAGTGTTCCCGGGATTCTCTCCCCACCCTGCTCATCTGGCAGATCCCGGGGTTCCCCCTCATCCTGCTCCCCTGGCAGATCCCGCTGATGCTGTGGCATTCCCGAGATTCCCGGCCAACCCTGCTCATCTGGCAGATTTGGGATGCCCCCCCCATCCTTCTCCTCTGGCAGATCCCACCGATGCTGCAGCATTCCCAGGATTCTCTCCCCACCCTTCTCCTCTGGCAGATCCCGGGATTCTCCCCCACAGCTGCTCCTCTGGCAGCTCCCGTTGCTGCTGCAGCATTCCCGGGATTCCCCACCAACCCGGCACCTACCTCAAGCCACCCAAGAGCTGCCGGGGGTGGCCCTGCCCTGGGTGCATCACCCGTTATTTTTATAAGGAGGAAAAAAACTGAAGAAACAGGGAGTTTCTTCCCTCAAAAACCAGCTGTTTGCATGGAAAATGGGAATTGTGGGGGCGGGAGCGGCGCCCTCCCTGCGGGCTGTGGGGGGACCGCTCCGGGCCCGAGGTGTCCGTGTGTCTGCGTGTGAATATCTCTCTATAAATTTATATATATATATATAAATATGTTGTATATTATGAGCTGTAAAAAGCAGGAGTCTGTATATATTGGGACACTGGGAGCAGCAGGAATGGGGGTGGGAGCTCCCAGCGGGTTTGGCCTGGAATAACCACTTCTTTCTGACTGTGACTTGAGGATCTTTGGTACGAAACCCCCTGGTTTTGGGAGCTGAGGACGCCTTGGCTTCCAAGGGAAGGACGTGGGGGGAGTGTGGAAATAAAGCCCATAGGAACTGGCGTGGTCTGGTGCAGTTTTGTGACTCGGGTGCAAATGTTCTTTCCCGTGGTTTGGTGAGGACATCCCAAGGGGTTCCACTGCCCTCGAGCTGGCCAAGGCCAGGTTGGATGGGACTTGGAGCAACCTGGGATAGTGGAAGATGGCCCTGTCCGTGGCAGGTGAGCTTTGAGGCCCCTCCAGCCCTAACCAGTCTGGAATTCTGGGATTATCACGACTGTGGAGAAAACTGGACTTGAGGGAATCCATTTCCTAGATATTGGGAAGGAATTCTTCCCTGGAGGGTGGAGAGGACCAGGCACAGGTTACCCAGAGAAGCTGTGGCTGCCCCAGCCCTGAAGTGTCCAAGGCCAGGCTGGATGGGGCTTGGAGCAACCTGGGATAGTGGAAGGTGTCCCTGCCTGTGGCAGGGGGTAGGATGGGATGAACTTTGAGGTTCCTCCCAGCCCAAACCGTGGGATTCTGTGATTCTGATCCACCCCCTTGGAGCTGCACATCCTCAGAAATCAGCAGGAAGCTCCAACCCCCCCCATTTTCAACCTCAGGAATGGCATGGGATGGAGGGAATATCCCCAGCAGGATTTGCCCCATCCCCTGTGCTCATGGCACAGGTCCATCCTCGGAGGAATCCAAGGCCAGCGAGGTGGAAACTTGTCCCAGGACTAAATCAATTTCCAACCCGACCCTTTAACTGCCTCCAATTTGATTTTCATTTGTAGCATCACAATTATCAGATTGAAATTCCTGACTGCTCAGCCTTGAGCTGGGCTGGCGGCTCCCGCTCCGGAGCGTTTTCTGCTCTCCCTGAGGAGGTTTTCTCCCTGTGGAACGAGCTCAGAGGGTGGGAATTCTCCAGCCCAGCCCTGGTGAGGGTAGGAAGGAGCTCCTGGATTTTCCCCACCTGTTTTCCCTGGCAGTTTTGGGGTGGGCACGTGGGACAGCGGGTGGATTTCCAGGGCTCTCACCCCGTGGGAGTAGCGGGGACTTCCCGTGCTTTGGAATTACAAAGATTAAACAAACATTTGTGTTTATGGCAGAAAAATCTGGGAACTCTGATCCAGGAGTTTAATGAGTTAAAGGAACATCAGAAACCCGACTTTAGGGACTCCTGATGCCCCCCCCCCGGCTACAATCCCAAGGAAAACACCCCAAAATGAGGATGGTGCTCTCGGAGCTGCAGATGCCTTCCCTCTGGGAATGGCACCAGGAGGCTGCTCCACCACCTTGGGTTTTGTTTCCTCATCCCAGGTGAAGGTCCTTTAGGTAATCCCAGAATCACTGGGGGTGGAAAACACTTCCAAGACAATCAGGTCCAAGCTGTGGCTGCTCCTTCTCTTGTCAGCAGACCATGTTATATATGTATGTAGAGATATATATATAAAATTTATATCCAGCCATAAATATACGTGTAATATATGTAATATATATGTATAATATACACACATATATACACCAATGTATATATTATATATATAGAGAAGGCAGGAAAGGAGAATATTATTCCCCTGGGATGCACTGAGGCTCTTTCTGAAGCTGGTGGGTTATTAAATCCTGGGGAAGCAGCAGCCAGAGGGTGGAAATTGTTCCATCAAACCCAACCCGTGGCTGCCGGATGGGATGGGAACAACCTTGGCTTCCAAGGAAACCCTTCACAAACCATTCCTGAGCCACAAATGTTTTCCCTGGAGTCCCCTGGGCTCAGTTTTCCTCCCTGCCCAGTGGGTGCCACCCAATTAAAGGTGATACTTCCCCCTTTGAGGCACTGGAATGATTTGGGGATTTAAATCCATCCTTGCTCTTCAAATCCCTTCTATTTCTATTTATTTTATTAATTTTCTGCTTTTTTTTCCACACTCCCTTCCCAGGTTCCAGGGCACGAGAGGCCCCACTTTCCCCCTATCCCTTTGTTTTCAGGGATACAAACCCACCTCTTAATTTTCAAGCCTCTTTTTGCACCAATTAAACCTTAATTAGAGAAGAAATTCATCCTGGGGCTGGTTTTTATCCCTCCCTCTCCCCTGTCCTCCGGGCAAGGAGCCTGGAGCCAGCACACAATTGATATTTTATATGTTTATATAATTTATACTTACTTTTGATATCTATTTCTGGAGATGTAATTATCCACAGTCATATCTTTTCATGGAAATCCACCGTTTGGGATCTGTTCCTCCAGAATTCCCCAAATTTAATGGAAATCCTTCAGGAACCAGCCCTAAAGAGCTCCTTGAATCGGGATCTGTGGCCATCCCAGTGCTGAGGACATCCTCACACATGTGCTCCCCATGGAAAAATGGGAATTTGGGTGGTTTGCACTGGAATCCCCTGTTCTTTCCCCCCCAAAAAAGTGGGATTGAGGATTGTTTCCACGGGTAAAGCAGCACTAGGAGGGTTCATGCAGCACCACCTCCTCCTAAATAAATATATATAATAATATATATGTCCTCTGCCATCAGGCACAAAGGAATTGTCATTCCCAGGTGGAAAAGCTCAGAAAGATGAGTTTAATTAGAAAAAAAAAAAATCCCTTTTTTCTTATTTTTCCTGGAATAGGAGCTGCTCTGGATGGGATAAGTGGCATTTTCTCCCCTCTGCCTTGTCCTCAATCCCATAAAAACAGGTCAGGAAAGTTGCAGGATCCCTGATTTCCACCCTGGCCCAGCTCCTCTGGGGGGTCACAGCCCCATAACTCAAACTGCAGTGATGATCCCAATAAAATTCCCACCTGGGGAGGATTTTCCAGAAGTTACTGCTGGCAATAAAACCCTGCCGAGGGGATGATGGGCCCGAGGGGGGAGTGTCTCCATCACCAGCAAAAGTGGCTTTTAAATCAGGTTCTGACCTCCCCTCCCAGCCTGGCAAAGTATTTGGGGCTGCTTGGAAGGGAAATCCCCCAAATCCTGGGGAAAAAGGGAGTGCAGGGAATAATCCTGATGCTGTTGGAGGCCTAAGGGAGGGTTTTCCCTGCCCATGTTGCTTCCCAGTTTTCTAGCAGAGGGAATTGGGTGGCAGCTCACCTGGGAATGCTGGAATTCCCTGGAATGCTGTTTGTTCTTTGGAATTTAGCAGCGACAGGGAGCAATTTCTGCCTCTGCACCTTGATTTTCTCACTCTGCGGGTGCTGAAGGGCAAAGACGCTGAAATGAGGCTTGGGGGGAGGATTTGGATTGGGAAAAGGGACCAAGAGGGGTGGGAATTTTGGGGCTCCCACCCTGAATTTACGGGAGTTTGCAAAAGCCTGGGAACATGCCCAGTTTGGGTTTGGTGACTGGGTTAACTGGAGAGGGGCTCAGTCCCTGCTCAGTCAGCTCCAGCTGCCTCAAAACTGGTTTTATCCTCCTTGAGCCGGGCTTTGCTTCTCCAAAAGAGCCACATCCTGCCCAAAATGCCCCTTTCCTGTGGCTGCAAAACCTGCATTTCTTTGCTGGGGATGGAAAAGCAGTTGGGGCTCAACCCAGGCTGGAATTTGGGGGTTTAACCCAAAAGGGGACAGGAAGGAGGGGGGGGAAAAAAAGGGATAATAAGCACTGGGAAAGTTTGGCAAACTTCAACCCACCTTCCCTGCTGAGCTACCAGCCCCCTCCGAAGGGATCTGTTTGAATTTTAAGGTATTTGTGACACCCAGATGTCGTCTTTGCCCTCCCCGGGACATCTCCAAAGGCTGTTCAAGGCAAGAGTCCTCATTTTTAATTATCTCATGGGCAGTGGGGAGTTATCCCCTTCCCAGCGTGGAGGTAAATAACTGCCCCCTGGGAAACCGCAAGGAGGAATTTGGGAGTGGAAGGAGAAATTCTGGGGTACTGGGAGCAATTTGGGGGCGGAAGGAGCGAAAGCAGAGGCTGGTTTTGAGAGGCAAATCCCGTTTTCTGAAGTGCCAGCTCTGCCGAGACTGCAGAGGGGTGACCTGGAGCTTTGCTCGACATCTCTGGAGCTCCCTCCAGCTTTTTTTCCCGGCTGTGGGGGTTAAGCCAAGGCCAAGAACAGCTGGAGCCGGGATTGTGATCTCCTCGTAGCCACAATCACCGCAGCAGCCTCGGGCATCGCCCGGAGCCAGCGCGGCTGAAATTCAGACACAAACCCCCCCCCGCGCTCCCTTTGTCTCCTGTTTCTAAAGGAAGCAGGAGCTGATGACCCACCAGGCTGCGGCTTTCGGGATCAAAGCTCAGCTCGGCGGCTCCGGCACAGAGGGAAGAGCTGATGAAACCCTCCAGAAATCCGTGTTCGCTCCGAGTCTTCCCTCCAGGCTCTGCCTCTGGGGAGCTGCTGGGCGAGACACATCAAATGCAGCGGCGGAGACGGAAAGAGCTCTTGTGAAGCCTGAAAGCGAGTTTGGGTTTGGGCTTAGCAAAGCTGTCACACGGATTCACTGCGGGAGCCTCACAGATGGGGATGGGGGGGAGCTCCCGGCAGTAAATCCTGGGTTTTCTCCCCTCTTTTCCAGGGAAAATAAATACCAGCTGCTAATTGCAATGAGTGTATTCCAAACTTGATGAAGTGACTGATGTTGGAGTAGTGGGACGATCCCAACCTCTGCTCCCAAGTGATCCTGCCATGGCTGAGGAGGCCTTGGAGGAGCAGCCTCAGCACCACCTCCCCTGACACCTCAGGGTCACCACTCGGCATTAATCAATTTAGAGCCACCTGACCCCCACTAATTCCCCCTCCCGAGCTGGAAGGGCCTAAACTGGTTTTATTTTGGGGAAGTGCAGCCGCGGGTGCAGAGCAGGGCCAGGGATGAGTTCCCATCCCGTGCCCTGAGGGTTGCTCCCCCTGTTCTCCAGTCCCAGGGAATGGGGGTTTTGCATCCTCAGGGAGGGATGGAGGTGTTGGGAGTGATGGTGCTGTCCCTGTTCCCAACAGTTCTGGTGTCTGACCCAGATGCTTCTCAAAGCCAGAGTTCAGAGCTCTCCTTTGGCTCTCGGCTGAGCATTTCTGGCCCAGGGAATGGGGGTCCTGCAGCCCCACGTGCCTCTGAGGGAGGGATGGAGGTGATGGGGGTGATGGTG